ACACACACACACACACACACACACACACACACACACACACACACACAGAGAGTGAAAGACAAATTAAAACCTGAATACAAATATTTCATGAACCTCAGGGCCCAGCCGTCCCACACCACTGAGTAAAGATGCAATCATACATGGATGATTTAATATGTGTGACCCACATTCTGAACTGGTGCAATGCTCCATTTCACCTCTTTGTGTGTCAGTGTGGAGGGTTATTTATTTACTGCAACAGGCCTCATCAGCACGTTTGGAAAGCATCTCTCCTCCGGTGTGAAGCATTGTGGCATCTTGTCACTGCTGCCAGGACAACCTCTACTCTAAAACATCCGTCACAGCCACACACACTAACATAAGAGCAGCATGTTTCTGATCATTTCCTCCAGCGCAGCTCTACAGTGTTACTGTCTAAACAGAGGCCGTGATGCTGCCCATCCCCCCGGTCTGTTGCTGCCTGACTGGCACTGAAACGGCCCAGCTGTGCTCGTGCCTTCCCAGCTCAGCTCAGCCTGGTTTGTGTACCTTCCCCTCCCTCCCACCTTCCACAACCTCCACTGCAGCCCCTGGCAGGGGCAAACATAACCTGACAGCCTAAGTGCAGTAATACGTGTTGCTATGCAGGCCGCTGCCGATGGCGGATCGTCACGTCAGCACACGGACATGCTGTTAATGATTGGTCCAGAAAGGGGGAAGGGCAACGTGAGAGGAGGAGCCGAGCAGAGTGAGATCAGTGATGCAATGCTGAATGGAAATCTCAATTGGCAGTTTGCAAAACGGGTTCAGAGCAGTTAGACGTGGATAAGCTGTGATCTGAGCCACGGTGTCGTGGTGTGATGTTTGAGCCAGGTGAGGTCAACATGGTGTAACATGGCATCACCCCGTACGCACAAACACACCAGGTATCACAATGATCATCTGTGTTACCTGGTTTCATTTGGTGTCCTGTCCTCTAGCAAAACAGTATGTAGCAAATGTCCCCTTGCGGGATGAATAAAGTATCTGTCTATCTATAGGTTTGATCTAGAGCTGAAACAATGAGTCAATCAACAGAATATCAATTACCAACTACTTCGATCATCGAACAATGTCAAACAGTTTATTTTTCCAGCTTTTCCAACGTAATGATTTGCTGCGTGTCTCAGTTTACATCATTGTAAATCAATGCTGCTTCGCTGGGTTTTGGACAAAACAGGCAATTTGAAGAAAATCTCTTTGGGCTCTGGAGAACTGAGAAAAGTGTCATTATCACTCTCCAATGTTTTAAAGACCAAACAACTAATCAAATAATCAATAAAATAATGGTTAATTGCACCAGATCGGCACCTTGGGGTTTTTGTGAGATCAGCATTTGGGCTCTTAAAATATTACATGAGAACATTTTTAAAGTTTTTGATATTTTATAGACAAATATTTGATCTCTATAATAAAAAGGTAGAATGAATAATACTGAGAATAAGCAGTGGTTTCCATTTATTACAGAGTAATCAGAAAGCCTAATGAAGTTCACGTCACATGAACAGGAACCATGTTACCTGATAACTGGGTCAACTTTGGGTGTAGAAATACAACTGGTGCGTAGATTTGATCCGACATGTGTGGCTTAATAGAAACCATAGCGTTAACAAAAATAACTGGTTGACACGTACGGACACCAGACCAGTAAATGAGCTGTGTGCAGAGGGGCATCTCACACACAGCTGGTGGAAGCTTGAAGTGGAGGGAGCAGAGTGGGCATGTTCTCACCAAGGCTGCCATCGAACAGTCAAGAGAATGGCGTCTTATGTCTTTAACCACTTTTCCTTGACCTTGATAGAAACGTCATGAGGTCGAGGAGAATGGAGAAGGAGAACTCACGAGGACGTATTTGGTGCTCAGAGAATCTGACTGCACTTAGACCATTTGTTATCTATTTATCACACACAGAGAATGAGTATAGTGACAAACTGTACAAAAGCGTGACAGGGATGACGTATCAGTGGTTAGCGTCACACTGGTTTCCTCAACCAACAGTTGATGGCATCTATCCGTTGGCTTTTGTATTATTGCAGAAAAGTATCTCTGTGGCAAACTAACATTATGATACTTTGTTCTTCAGCAAGATAATCTTCATAAATCAACCCCATTTTCGCCAGAGGTACAAAGCGAATGTTAGACGATAAACCAACGACACAACATGGTCACATGACTTCACGTCTCCACCACTAAGCTAAAGGAGGACTCGTGTTCGAGTGAGGACATTTAGTCGTCTCATTGAGACTCTTGATAGAAACCTGAACTTGTTAGCGACCGCTTTTTAAAGAAGTATTCACTGATTTATTTTAAGAAGAAAATATTAATATCTCTCCAGCTTGTGTTAACCACAGACCTTATTTCAGTCATTTAAACTAAAACACAAAGACTGGTGGTGCTAAAACGCTGACTCATCTCTGGGTGTTTATGACTCATTGCTGCAGCACTCAGTGCTGTACAACTCAATGAAGGATTCCTGTCCAAACATCACATCTAAGAAGGATGTTTTCAATTTATGTGTACAATTAAACAGTGATGGCGGTTGTTGGTGACGGCTAAATGGTGCGTCACTTTAACCAAGGAATTGTGAAATGACATGATGTCTCCTTTCCTTTGGTAGAAGATGGTCCAGTTCAGTTAGGAGCCTTCCTAAGAAAAGAACTCCCGTGGACTCTAGTGTCTGTTGTGACATGAATCCATCATACCTCACACAGCACAAGCCCATGGTGTACTAATTACTAATTATCCTGACTTACATTAAGCTCCTTTGGTACCTCAAGCATGAAAGTGGACCAGCTGCATCCCTTTATGGTTAGTTGAGCGGTTTTGAAATGAAATGTGAGGCTGAACTGAGGTGGTTTATGAATATGGTGACTGCAGTTCAACCCAGATCTCAACCCAACAGAGACGTGGGGGTGTGTTGTGTAAGTAGGGCAGCAGCAGCCTGGAGGTGACACAAGTGGAAGGAAGGTGCCTGTTAATCTCAGTCAGACGGTCTGGGAACAGAGATCGAAAGAACTCCAGTTCACGGTTCTGGATTATTTCTGACTTCTTGCAATAGCTAGAACACAACTTCTGAAACATGGCCCCATGTTGAAGATCTATAAACACATACAACAAAATATCTCACATCTCCTACAAAAGCAAACACTTCATTATGTATGAAGTAAACTATATAAACTCTTCTAAAAATTACATTTTTGCATAACAACTGAACAAATACTTGATAAAGGTAAACTATTGTTTCCACATCTGCACACCGTTAAGTATAAAACACTATTATCCATTTAATTTGTAGCATGTTGTAAATATAAACTGTGAACACAAATTCATGCTCACAAAATCATAACAGTATCAGATAAAATGACATGAACATAAATACAGTATATTTTCCTAACTATCCTCTAATTCCCTCTCCAAGATTGGCCTCCATTGTTTTTCACACCTCAATCCTATTTATAGTGTTTAAGCTCGGATTTCTAAATGATGTAATTGGTAGCAGGTGTTTTCACAGGTGCATTCTGGGTGCAGGTGATTGATAATAAAGTGTGGTTTTCCATTGCAGAGTTTAGAAAACAACACACGCATGGTTTTAGTTTTGATGATGTGTCTAATGTAGAGAACTGTGTGGAGTTATTGTTTTAGAATTCCAAACTTAGTGCAATGCGTTTCTGGTTTAGCACACCTGGCAGTAGATAGGCAAACATCTGTAATAGAATCAGTTTATTTCACCGTCTGTTTTCAAGTCACTCTGAACAAATGGGGTTAACGAAGCACATCCGACATGAACTCTGTGGACGTTTACACACTTTAAAGGGGTCCTAATCTAATTGGTTGGATGAATCACATGTTTTCTGATAGGCGTCCCACAATAGACTGACTGGGTTGTCTTATTTCACAGTCTGTGGATTGGAAGGGACTCCAGATACACAAATGTACATTTATACGCACAAGAACTGAACAAGTGACTTCTTCATCATGTGAAAAGTAATGAATTTAAATATACTTATTTGCTTTCTGGCAGGGTGTAAGATGTAAAACACATGTCCATTAATATAAACTACAGCAAGCAGCTTAGCTTAGCACCAATACTGGAAGCAGAGAAACAGCTAGCCTGATAACAAGATCCACCTCCCAGGCATGTCAAACAGCTTTCTGATCATGACATAAACCAGCTGTTTTTAGTTTCATGGGAAACCCTGCTAACCTCCAGTTCAGGTACAACATCAACAGCATGTCACTACTTTCACCTTTTCTTTCAAATCAAATAAACACTTAAACAATACATGGCAGTGGCCGTAGTAATATTACCATTATTGGTCGTTTGCGCTCCATTACAATGTGATTTGAAGAGTACTTTTAATTGTGATATTTATTTATCTAATATTGACATTGCAATTGAAATATCAAGAACAGGATTTGTACGAACGGTATTCCTGGCTGACAGCGTCGGAGAAGCGTTGCACATGTTATGGCTGGGAATGCGTTTCATTTGCAACTGAGCGTCTTGGTGTTTGGAGCTACGCTACACTAACCTAAACGTAAATGTAATATATTTCAATGCATTTGCTGTTTCTTAATTTCATTGTCTTCCGTCTCGATCGCAGTGATGTGGTGGTTCATTTTTACACTTTATCTTCCATCTTTATCTTTTAACCAGTTTTTTACTGTTGGATCAGTTATGCTCGTGAGAACGGCCCGCACGCCATGCGCGAAGACTCAGTAAGTGGCCGCGGCTTACATCTCAAAATTGTTGTAACTGCATGCTTTTCAGGCATGACTGTCACAAACAGTGCACTGATAAAAGCACTGTAAACAGGATTTCACAAAGAAGGCCAATTCATTTTTAGATGCTTTGGAAACCGGAGCTTTAGAGTCCTCGATTAACCTAAGCGGCATGTCTTTGCAGTGTGGGAGGAAGACGGAGAACTCTGAGAAAACCCAAGGTAACACAGGAAGAACAGGCAAACTCCGCACAGAAGGGCCAAACCCCCCCCCCCCCCCCCTAGCTGTCAGGCAACAGTGTTAACGGCTCAAATTGTTTCTTTCCTTTAATATATAATATATTAGATAATATTTACTCAGACCGTGCAGTTAGTGACAGTGTGGCTCCATGGTAGCTCTGACAGCTCCACAGAGTAGCACGGGGGCGGAGCTTAGCCAATTCCCTGATTGATGTGTGGTTGTGAGCACTGACCGGCGTGACAGGTGCCAGTAGAAGTGGAGTTGGAGCAGGGACATGGTGCACAGGCTGCGGTCAGGGCGGCTCCGGGGCTGCGGTAGGAACCAGGCATACACTCCTCACAGTTGGATCCCTGGGTGTTGCCCTCACAGTTAAGACACACTCCTGGAGGATAAAGGTCACACATGATTAGAGGGATATTGTACACTGTACACAACACAGAAAGTGAGAGACGTTGGTTCTATAACTCTTCATCTTTGTTTGGTCACCGACACGTCATTCCACAGTATGTTTTTTTTTATTGTTTTTGTGCTGGTGGGGCTAACAGCAGAAACATTTACAATGTTGAAAGTGCTGACTTGCATTTCATATCAAAGTACAAGCTCCTCTATGAATCAGAATCAGCTTTATGTGGCATGGCATTCATCAGGCTGACCTCATTTTTGTATATCGCTACACGCTGCTGTGTTTCATCAATTACATGACACAGGAGAATTGTCTCAAGATAGAAAGCATTGCTATAGCAGTACAAAGAAAGCAACCAAAGCACATATCGATCACTTCAGAGGATAATCACACTGAGTGGACGGGATCAGATTTTTAAGGAAGGCCGACTCCTGATCAAAATGTTTGAGTGAATGCACATCATTTCCTGCTCATTCTAACCTTTACTTAATCATGTTGGGACTTTTGAAAAGAGAGGTCAGAGTACAGCACAACAAAACAAAAGAAGACGTACTAAAAAGCAGACTTTCAGAAGTCAGAGAGACAAAACAAAGGAAAAGCTAGTTACATTTACGTGTGTATACATGTATATATACACACACACACACACACACACACACACACACACACACACGTGCCATTTATAAAATAATGGCACCACAAATAAATGAGTTAAAGTTCAAATGATTTTAAATCACATTTAGTGTCCTCGATAGAAAGCGGCTCACTTATCTTTGCTTGGCGTTTCATTTTAGCACATTTGTATGAGAACACTAACTGTAAATAAAGATTTAGATGACATGATTATTTCAGACATGCAGAGGAGGTGGAAATACTTTATTAGACCCCAATTTTGATTCGCAAATCTTCTGTTTTCGAAACGATGGTGCATTCAAGGACACTCAGACATGTGGGTCTTCAGAGTTAGTTCTGGCTTTGTATATCACATGAAGTTAGCAGTTTTTAAATGGATGTTTTGATAAAGTTTTGCTGTTGTTCAACGCGGACCCCGAGACTTCTCTCCGTTCTTTGATTCTCCGTTTACCGAGGAGGCATGCGAGAAAAACGACAAGAAATGAAGGCAACATGAAGTGAGAAATTGTTTCAATGATGGTCATTGTGGGTGAACTTTGCCTTTATATTCCCACTCGACATCAGGAACTCTACACATCTTCCATCGCAGACTGTCAACTCATCTGTTCAGTCTGTACCTTGACCCATAAAAAGATAGAAAATTAAACTCTTTATATCTTACCGTCTCTAAATGTAGCACTTGAGGTAGTTATTATTTGATGCAGCTGATGTACTTGTGTGATTCTTGCAATTTCCATTAAGCACATTCAACATGGCTGCACGTACTTAATGAAAGTCTATCTGGATCAGATGAAGGTAATGTGTACATTTGCATTTTCGTCATTACAAAAAAAAAATAAACTTGAAATTCCCACAATAAAGTTATGAATTGTTATTATTATAAATATTAGTGTAGCTGTTTGTAGCTGCGCCGCTGTCTGTGGTTGAGCCTCCATGATAATAATCAGAGGTTACAGACGTGACTAAAGCTGTCCACAGACTGCAGAGCTTGCTAAATCTTTGCATAACTTTGGTTTCAACCATGAGCTGTGGGAGAGTCTTCCACCCGTGCATTCACCACAGTGTCAACAGAGGAGCCGACGATAAGTTAAATCAGCTGCTGATGAAGGACCAGTCATGAGCAACAACACAACTTCTGCTGATAAATTATGGGTTTTCTGAGAGAAATTAGACCAAATTTAACTTCATGTTCATTATGATAAATTGAAGCCACGTGGACGTCAGGCTTTAAACAAGTGCACTCAAGGTTTAGAGGTGAATAACGTATCGTGAAAAGAAAAGAAATATGTTCTTGATGATAAACTGCTTTCTGTTATTCAGCCTTTATACATTATTTCAGTTGAAAACAAGCCGTCTCTGTCCCCGTCATGTCCGTCTGTGGTCCACAGTGTTCTGGGACGCTGTATAATTAGTGTGTAAGTGGGGAAGGCCAGGGTGAGTCTTTAAAGGGAGCTGTCAAACCTGAACAACGTAATCCACAGCACTGTGAGCACTGAGCCCCACTCCATCTGGCCCTGCATTATAATGGAAAAGCACCCCCAGCCTGACTGCATGGAGGGGAGCAGTAATCCTCCTTTACATGTGATGAGAAGGATAAATCCACACAAATCAGACTGAACATTGGGTTTATGATATTCTATATTTGATGGTGAGTCTGCTGCTGATTCAGCATGTTTCCTGGTCTCCTCAGGTTCCTTCTTCCTTATTCCACAGTAAGTCTTTCCCCGAGACAAACCGGAGGGTTTGTGTGCTGCCAAAGTCTCTAATTAAACCCTTCAGTGCATCAGTGGCGTCAACTTGCACAAAACTCAAGAGGTACATGTATGGAGAACTTCATGAACATTTCCTTTTTGGACTGTTAAGCTTCAGCTTTCTCATGCAGAGCCCATTTGCAAAGGAACTGCATGCTGAAAAGAGCAGATATAGATAAAAATGTAGAGAAGTAGAAGTATAAAGTAGCATCAAATGAAAAATACTCATGTTGAAGGATGTATAAAGTGTACTTAAAGGGTACATATCATGCTCATTTTCAGGTTCATACTTTGGGTTTCTACCAGAACATGTTTACATGTTTAATGTTGCAGAACATTTGATTTCTCACACAGTTCTCCATCACATGTCCTCTTTAAGTAGCTGCGACTTCCAACACGTGTCTCCCTGGATTTGAAACCAGGATATAACGAGTGCTTCAGCCAACTAAACCAGTGATTCATTGACAGACAATCGAAAAAGAAAAGTCTCGATACAAAACGTAAATAAAAGCTTTGTTTGGGCAACTGAGCTTAAATTGAGGACACATTTTAAAGGTAATGTGTATGTTTCCTACTGGACCTGCTGCAGCATTATCCTTTTATTTATTCATCCTTATTAATCCTGTGACTCATACTGTGGAACACATTCAAACAGACTCACCGGACTGTGGATGGCAAGAGTTGGTGTGGTTCCGACACTGGCAGGGCCGGCAGCCCGTGCTGCTGAAGTGGAAGAAACCCGGGTGGCATTCGTCACACTTTGGTCCGTACACTCCCGTCTTGCACACACATATCCCTGAGCTGAAAGGGGCGGAACAGAAGAGAAGCAATCAGAAAACACAGTCCCACACAACATTTCAGAACTCCAAGCCAGAGCTGTGATGTCATGGCATCAGATGTCCACACCTGACTTCCTGTAGGTTCTCCTATTCACTCTGTTCCAGGTCTAAAGCATGTGGGGAGCACCTTACAGCACTTACACTTCAGAGCCATCCACACTGCTCACATCAATGCCTCCAGCAACACGTGTCCAGCACCACACTGTATACAGCCCGTTTCCCCCTTGTGTTTCTTTAATGTGTCATTTTGTCTGTAAAGGATCGGTCTACCAAAACCACCAAAACATGAGCTCACCTATGATTGTGTGAGTGTTTCCCTCCAAAAACAATGTTGCAAAGTTACATAATGGATAATACACAAACCACGCCGTGCACAGTTTTCATTTGTCTAGAGAAGAAATACGGCCCATTAAGCACAGCATGCATCCTGATCAGATGGCGTCCTCAGTAGCTAAAAGGATTGGAGACAGACTCCAAGATGCATACGTAATATTTACTTGTCTCAATTTTAACTATGTAAGTGAGCAATCTGTGGAATTGCTCCTACAGTATAGCGATGGCAGCTGAATGACATGGAAAATAATCCACCATCTGTCTCCCTGTCATTTAAAGCGACAGGAAGAAAGCCGCACCAGTGATTTCAACAAAAAGTCTCGACTGCTTTTATGCCAGTCTTTCACGTGTTTGCGTTAGTTCACGAGTAGTTGTTAGCTAGCTGTCTAAACTGTTGCTGTTGTAACTAAACCGCATTTTTGTCAGTTACCACCATAGTCTCTTTCTTATAATACAATATAAAGTTAATCTCTTGAATCTGTGTGTTGCATTATGTGGCAACGATGGGTCGTCTTCCAATCAAAAGATCGGCAGTTTGATCCCCAGCTCCTCCGGTTAATGTCCATCTGTCCCCTCAGATTGCTCCTGAGGGCCGTGAGCTCTGAACGGGTGTGATGGGGGATTAGAACTAGAGTCCTGATGGGCAGCTGGTACCGTGCATGGTAGCCCGTTCATCAGTGTGAATGGCTGAATGACGACATTATGTATAGTTCAAAGCGCTTCGAGTGGTCCGAAGACTAGAAAGGCCGATATTTGCTTATTGCACATATGTCGATATTGCTGTATATGTCGGCTGGCAATGACAAATTGCTGCACAAAAATGACAATCTAGGTTTTAAATAATTTAGAAAAGTGTCACTTTTACATAATTTATGATCAACAGAGCCAGTCGATTTTTACACTGCAAATTGTAAGTATCTATTGTGGTCACACAAAAAACAACAACTAAGGTCCATATCAAGATTGTTATGCATTTGCTCTGTGTCTGTCCATAGTTATTCACACACACAGCCTAATATCCTTTGTGCTCATGTGTGCTCATGTGTGTCACGGACCTCTTGTGATTGCAGTGACACTCTTTAAAACAAGTTGAATTAACTGTTTTACACAGTCACTGACTGCTGACTCCTCACTTCTCTCAGCCGGCCGGTAGGGGCCGCAAGTGATCAACAACTGCTTCAGTTTGGACAAGCAAGACGGCTGTATGGATCCAAATGAGAGTGCATCAGTTGTGAAAGACGCGTCTGATACGCTTGCAGTCTAGAAGAGCGGCGAGACAGTCGTGGTTTGTCGTCATTTAATCAGACAGAGCAGTGCATGTTGCAGACACACCTGGCGGACATCTGCACTGAGTTCACTCATTTTGTTTATAGTTTAAAAAAACGTTTTCTGGTGAAATATAGTTCTATTTATTTACACTCTCAAATATGGATGAGTATCATTATCAGCATTTCAATTCATGTGTTTTACATAACAGTACGAGTGCTCTCAGAATGCTCCAGAACAGTTCAATCCAATACACACTTAAATAACTGGTTTCATTGGCTAGTGTTCCTCAGGTTGGATCTGAACTCTCATCGCCCTGTTTCTGGCTGTTACACCCACTACATGCATGCTCATTTATACATGAGGGGATAGTGAGTTGCAGTGAGGCTTAATTTCTTAGTGAGAATTCATCCACGGTTCTCTGATATTCATGGTAATCTCCGAGGAACAGTACAGCACTCAATCAAGCCCGGTCAGCCCTCGAACACCCAGCAGACAATGGACTCAAACATAATCTGAAGACAATAACTTCAAAAAAATTGTAGCTAATCAAGAGTGACTGGGAGCACTTTCCATGAGCGTGGGTCCACATACAATCTAGGCTTTGTTAAAACAACTGCACTTAATGCAAATGAAGAGGCCCACGGCGATGCTCAGTGGGGCGTGGGCCTGCTGGGGGATCAACAGTCCTCTTTCTTCCAGCGAAACACACACACACACCATCAACAATAACAACCAATATCCACATGCAGCATCATGACCCTAATGCAATGCAGTCAGTCAGAGAGAGAATGTCCAACGGTCACAGAGAAAGGGAGCAATAACTCTACTCACTCCCAGTGAAAGATTAAACAATCCCTTCTTAGTCCCGCAGTGGGGACATTTGTTCTCTGCATGTGACCCCATCCCTAGTGTGTGTGTGTGTGTGTGTGTGTGTGTGTGTGCATACATACACACACTTCCTCTAAGCTAAACTGTTCAGGAGCCGCCATTGTTGTTTACAACAAACAGTCGCCTCTCCTTGTCATTTCATACCTAAGCCACACCCCTAAGTGCAATTTATTAGGGATATGCTCACAGAATATTATAGTTTATTTTTTAAAAAAAAGAAAAAAAAAAAAAAAAAAAAAAAAGGGGCCAACGTAGTCTGGACACCCCAACATCTTCATCTTTGTTGACAACTAGAAGCCTTTTGTGAAAAAGACAGAACGGTGGAGGAAGATGCAACGTTTCAGCCGCTTGTAGCTGTTTGCAGCTGCACCAGTGTCGACCTCATTCATCTGGGGGTGCGCTCCAAAGCCCACCAGGCACAGCGCCACTGTATGACAGATGGGCGGGGTTTCTTCACCAGGCTAGTGTGATAAGACCAGAAAGCTCCACATGTTCCAGTGGAACTAAGTTGCTAAGCACATGACCTGGCTACAGTCACACACACACACACACACACACACACATTATAATAATGTCATAGTATTGACGCCGTCTATAATGGGTACTTTATTCTAGTACCTGCTGATACAACTGATCTTCAATGCATTTCAACACCTTCAACCACACACTGCGTCGAGGAGTGTATAATATGGATAAAACCCCCCAATACACACTTGTTTTAATACCGATGTGTTCAGGCTTTAATGCAGGAAATGAGCATACACCAAATCATGCAATCATCTGCGCCTGCAGAGCCTTCATATTAGTCTGTGAGCAGCTCAGAAATGAGGCTGTTTCTTTTCATCTAATATGCAGCCAGTAAACCCAGCAGGTCCACTGTTGCCCCAGTGGAGGGGGAGGACAGATCCTTCTCACCCATCAGTAATCCTGCTGTTCATTTGGGCCGCCCTGGTCAGGAGGAGGGGGTTGTTATTGTTTTGGAGTGATTTCCCTGCACTGGCCCAGCCACTCTGCATCAGATGTACATGTTAAGTAGGTCAGTATTACATGGATGACAAAGCTTAGCCCCATTCTGCGGCTGCCGCGGGAACGCTGGCCATCGGCTACAACATGTGTCGGATCACAGCAGACGGTCACAAACATCATCCGTGCAAAAGGGAAGTGATCACCGGTTACATTAAAGAATCAGAAGTACACCGAGCAGGTTTAGTTGCATTGCTGCGTGTGCGGTCACATCACGACAGGGTGTGTTCAGCAACACAGCAGCAGGATGGGATCTCTTCTCCGCTATCCTGGCTCCAGCTCTGCATGCACAGACACGTCCACAGAGTCTTCAGTTGTCACATTCCAAGTCATGTCGTCAACAGAGAAATCTGGTTTGCTTGTCATTATTATATAATGGATTTATGGGCGGAGCTTGGTGAAACATCAAATACATTGCAGGTAACCGGGTTAGAGCCACGTTTGACAAATGTTGATGTGACACTGAAAAACTACAAAGATGGTTCTTCAAACGATCAAATCTAAAGGTTTGGAAAAAAGGCTTGTTTAACATCTTAACCAGAGTCAGAGGTTACGGCTGATATTACGTGTCGACTTTACAAGGCAGTGATGAAAAATACAATTATAAATGAAAAAGATCTGCTCAGTTTCATCTCTGTTCATCCAGTACGAGCTTAGCCTAGCTTAGCACACAGACTGGAAGCAATAGAGAACTGCTAAGTGGATTTAACTCTTCCTACATTTTTAAACGCGTCTGATTTACATGTCGTATCACGCCAGTGTGCCATTTACAAATCCATTCAAGAGTCCGTTGGGTTTTGTTGACAGTAGAGTTACAACGAAGCTGAAAGCTAGCATCCCTTCTGTGTGATGCTGCAGTCAGTCACTGCTTGTTGGACATTAAATATATCTAGTGTCAACTACTCAAACCTTTCAGTGTCTTTTCAGTTCATAGAACTTCTCTTTTACAGCGTTCAGTGTTACATAGCTCCACCCTGGTGTTCTCCAGGCTTCAACACATATTCCACAAACCAATGGGGGACATCACGATGACTACGTCCTCTTCTTATACATAGTCCATGTAGTAAACAAACTCATTTTCCAAAATGTCACACCGTTCCTTTAAGGCAGAGTGAAGGCATGTTCAACGGTAGAAGGCCTCCAACTGAATTTTGAACAAACCTGAGTGAATAAATACGAGGCCTTTGATCACAGGGTAGTATGGGCCCTGTTCCTCTGTGTAGCTGACGCAGAGGAACAGGGCAGCACTGACTGCAGGTCCCCCGAGTGTGGCCATCAGTCCGGACTCAGGCACGTGGCTCAGACCCCCCGCAGTCCTGCGGTCCACTGCTGCTGTCTGATGCCAGCAGGATGCTGCAAAGGAGCTCACAGCTTCCACTTGATTAGGCAGCAACTCACACATCATTACATTTATGCAAAGGTTGAAAGGAGTGAGACAGTTTGGACCTC